CTTTGGCTTTCATTAATGTTGTTGCACAGCTGGTGCATGTATATCATTCAGGTGCAGCTTTCATACAACTTTTGAGGGTTTTCATTGCGGTCTCAAGTAGTACATGAGCTACTTTGAAATCGCACAGATATGAATGGTACCCATTGGGGAACATGGCGAGTGACTTTTCAGGTGACTTTGGGCCACAAAGTTGCATGACGAGTCGCACAAGTGTGAATGGGCTCTGAGGCTGCATTCACACTTCGGTGTTTTGTAGCATGAAGCAAAAAAAAAAAAAAAAAAAAAAAAACGCTCAAACTTAAAAAATCAATCGTTCTCTATGGTGCCTGTTGGAGTGATCAGGTGTGAACAAGCACCATAAAAAACAATTGAGCCTATTCCAGTGTTCAGGTGTGAACAGGCACCATAGAAAACAATTGAGCCTGTTGGAGTGATCAGGTGTGAACAGGGACCATAGAGAACAATTGAGCCTGTTGGAGTGATCAGGTGTGAACAGTTACCATAGAGAACAATTGAGCCTGTTGGAGTGATCAGGTGTGAACAGGGACCATAGAGAACAATTGAGCCTGTTGGAGTGATCAGGTGTGAACAGTTTACCATAGAGAACAATTGAGCCTGTTGGAGTGATCAGGTGTGAACAGGGACCATAGAAAACAATTGAGCCTGTTGGAGTGATCAGGTGTGAACAGGGACCATAGAAAACAATTGAGCCTGTTGGAGTGATCAGGTGTGAACAGTTACCATAGAGAACAATTGATTTTTTTTTTAAGTTTGAGCTTTTTTGGAGCTTCAAGCTACAAAGTGCTCAAGTGTGAATGCAACCTAAGGGAGACGGAACAAATTGTATAGTGTATGGTCGGCCTACAGCTGGCCACAGATAGATCACAATTCAGGACCGGACAAATTTTGATTAATCTATGGCTGTTCCCGATTGAAAATTTTCCAACACTGAGTGAAGTCATTCGATCAGCTGCTGCAGCGCTGATCAGTGCAATCCAACAGTGGAGGAGTCCTGCTGTCAGAATACAACAGCACAGCGGAGAGGATCATCCATCCACCTTGCTTATGTGGTTGGGGGAATCTTTTTTTTTTTTTTGATCAGCAAAAAACAAAGGACCACTCAATGCCCAGCCTAACGCTCACTACACGTTACAATCTGATTGTACAATCTTGTTCAGGCTCCAGTCACATCTGCACGTTTTGGGAATGGGCGCAGAAACACATTCTTCGCACGTTGCTGGAACACGCAAAGAAAGTGTGTCATGCTTGCAGTTCCGTTATTGTTATTTGCTCATTTTTAATAGCACCCCAAACACGGGGAGCAAACGCATGTTCATCTTCATGCAAAAACATGCGACAAATGCAGCAAAGTGTGCAATAAAAAAAATGCATTTGAACCTTGGCAGAAGGCTGCATGAGCTACTTTGCTGTGTTGAATGAATGGGTTGCCCTATGCGGGTTACAGGAAAAATGTGCAAAGAACACGGTTCAAATTGCTAAATGTGAATGTGGTCTCAGGACTACCAAGTACAGGAATGTGCAATTCCTATCACCCAACGCCGGGACATGTACTTCTGGGCATCGGGCAAGTCGTTTTCTTCTACCTTTAGCCCTGCTGCGGGCAAGCTGCTACCAGAATGCTTCCACACAGTGCCAGCCCCCTCCCCGTCCACTGTCTCCTGGGCTCCGCTTGCCCAACTGCCGGTGACAAGAGGGGAGGAGAGCGGACACATGTCCACTCCCTTCCTCTTCTTGTCCTGACCCAGAAGTGACATTTGACCTTACTTCCAGGTCCCCATTCACAGATTCCCGGCAACTGAGGCCGAGAAAGAATGTAATGTGGTGCGATGTACACTGCATTACATTCAGGGGAGCAGAGGGGAGACAGCCAGGGTCTTTTAGAGCTTAGATGTATCAATAAAGAGAACCTGTCACCAAACAATCACACAGGGGATGAAAACAAAAGTAAAAAAACAAACAAAAAAAAAAAAAAAACAGTAAAAAAAGTTTTTTTTTTTATTTTATAAAATGAAAGTTACACCCAAGCCCCTGCAAGTATGGAATAGAAGAGCCTGTCTGAATGGACGGTTTAAAGAAATCCTTGTATTACATAGTTTTGATATATCTAAAGTGGATTGTACACAGATTGTAGGGTGTATGGAGATCCTACACTATACAACTTGATTGTACGACATCCTTTACAAGGACCTGATAAAAATGAAATGATTGTTCAGATGTGCCCCTCTGACATGGTGTTGGTAAATCTTCCATTGACTGTACAATTATATTGTATAGTGTATGGCCAGCTTGCTAAAGGGAGTAACAATTGCCGAAAGCACAGACCAACCAATGCCAACATCTCCCTTTATTCTAATGTACAGAAAGCAGGACTCTGCCAGGGGATCTACTAAACCTAGGGCAGCCCTGCATAGTAACTAATCAGCTTCTAGCTTCAGCTTGTTAAGTTCAGCTTTGAAAATGAAAGCTGGAAGCTGATTGGTTGCCATGCTCCAGTCTCAGTAGATCCCTTCTGAGGACATGCTGCTATTTTCCTGGCTGTGGTGGTCACAGGAGATCCTCGGCTGTTCTACAAAGGGTTAATCAGCACAGGCCGCCGTGTTATAGGTGTGGAAGGATTACAATGTATCCACTGTCATCCCCCCTCCCCGGCCCCGCCGGACGGAGCGGATTTGCCGTTTGTGGGCGGGGCCTACCGCGGACAATAAGTTAACACAGGGTTACCCCACCCAGAGACAAGCGGGCAACAACCGAGAGCCCCGCCCCCTCAGCCCGCCCAGAGGGAGGGGCCCAGCGATCCTAATATAGCCTTCCAATACGTCATCCATTAAAATAGCCATGTGAGGGGGCGGGGTGGGCGCGACAAAAAGGAGCCGGAGGGCGGGGCCTGCGTTCAAAAACCACCAAGGAAAAAAAAAAAACAGGCAGGGCGGTTGTCAACACCCCCAGTCATAGAGACGGCATCCTCTGGCACCTGAGGGGTTACAGGATACCCCGCACCCAACGGGCACACACAGGGACAGACCGGACACTGCAATTCCAGGACAAGTATTATTATTACACAGGATTTATATCGCGCCAACAGTTTGCTCAGCGCTTTACAATATAAGGGAGACAATACAGTTCAATACAAAAGGGATAGGAGGGCCTGATCCTGGGAGCTTACAATCTAAGAGACAATCCGCACCGCCGACACCTACTGTACATGAGGACCACCCACCACTGTACACGGGTGACGCCGTGCCCACCCACCACCGTACACGGGGGTGCCGAGCCCACTCATCACTGTATACGGGGGCACAGCCCACCCGTCACCGTACACGGGGGGGGGGGGGGGGGACGACACACGCCGAGCCCACCAGTCACCGTACACGGGGGACGCCGAGCCCCACTCATCACTGTATACGGGGGGCGCAGAGCCCGCCCGTCACCGTACACGGGGGGGGAGCCCGCCCGTCACCGTACACGGGGGCGCGAGCCCACCCGTCACCGTACACGGGGGACGCCGAGCCCCACCCGTCACCGTACAAAAGGGGCGCCGAACCCACCCGTCACCGTACACGGGGGGGGGGGGGGGGGGGGGGGGGGACACGCCGAGCCCACCAGCCCACCGTACACGGGGGGCGCAGAGCCCCGCCCGTCACCGTACACGGGGGGCGCAGAGCCCCCCGTCACCGTACACGGGGGGCGCAGAGCCCGCCCGTCACCGTACACACGGGCGCGCAGAGCCCGCCCGTCACCGTACACGGGGGGCGCAGAGCCCCGCCCGTCACCGTACACGGGGGGCGCAGAGCCCGCCCGTCACCGTACAAAAGGGGCGCCGAACCCGCCCGTCACCGTACAAAAGGGGCGCCGAACCCACCCGTCACTGTATACGGGGGCATTGAGCCCACCCATCACCGTAGAAAGGGGGCGCCGAACCCACCCATTACCGTACACGGGGGGCGCCGAGCCCATACTATACATGATTACAGTGCTGAGTCCATACAATTACTATAGATGAGGAGCAGAGCACTGCACTACCATCCCATGGAGCAGAGTTATCGATGACATTTTTGAACCCCCCCCCCCCCCCCCCCCAGGAAGACATTCTACATCCAGCCCTGGCAGTGACAGCCCAGTATACACAGGGACCCGACACCATGATGGTGACGGTGGCATAGACAGGGTCCCTACACCGTGATGGTGACTGTGGCAGAGACAGGGTCCCGACACCGTGGCGGTGGCATACACAGGGTCCTGACACCATGATGGTGACCGTGGCATACACAGGGTCCTGACACCATGATGGTGACCGTGGTATACACAGGGTCCTGACACCATGATGGTGACCGTGGTATACACAGGGTCCTGACACCATGATGGTGACCGTGGTATACACAGGGTCCTGACACCATGATGGTGACCGTGGTATATACACAGGGTCCTGACACCATGATGGTGACCGTGGCATACACAGGGTCCTGACACCATGATGGTGACGGTGGTATACACAGGGTCCTGACACGGTGATGGTGACCGTGGCATACACAGGGTCCTGACACGGTGATGACGGTGGTATAGACAGGGTCCTGACACGGTGATGACGGTGGTATAGACAGGGTCCTGACACGGTGATGACGGTGGTATAGACAGGGTCCTGACATGGTGATGACGGTGGTATAGACAGGGTCCTGACACGGTCATGATGATGGTGGTATAGACAGGGTCCTGACATGGTGATGACGGTGGTATAGACAGGGTCCTGACATGGTGATGGTGGTATACCCAGGGTCCTCACACCATGACAGGTAAGGTGATGTTCCATCCACCTGTACAGGACCAATGAGAGCTCCCTGTCTGTCCCTACATACAGACCAATCCAATAGGTGTATATAGAGACTTATCTATCTATAACACAGGGGTCCAGTGTGTAAGAACCCTGCCTGTGTGCCCATCTATGCCTCCCCCCATCCCCGGACATGGTGTGGCGGTGTACTCACAGCCCTGTCGGCGGTGGTGACGTTCAGCATGGTGTCGGCTGGTCCAGGGTAACAAAGGATGGAGCGGAGCAGGTAGCAGGACGTGGTGCCGCCTGCCTGAGCCGGGGCTGCTCACCAGCAATAACAAGCTCGCCTCCTTTGCATTGGGGATGTTACCTCGTCGTCATGTTGCATGGGAGGGCCCGGCTCCGGCGTGCACACAACATCCAGCACAGCGGGGGAGGGGGCGGGCAAGGCAAGGTGAGGACATCGCACTCATTGCACAGCCCAGGGAAGGGGGAGAGCCGCGATCCAATCAGCAGTCGCTTAGGTCGCCCTCTCAGCCAATGGCGGCCGAGCCGGGAGCGTGATCAGCTCGTGTTGAAGGCATGCCGCTCAGGGCTGAGTGTGCAAGAGCTTGGAAAGTAGGGGAAAGGTCGCGCGGCTGAGTGGGCGTGCCTGGAGGAGAGAGACCAGTCTGTCACCGAGGAAGCCCCGCCCAGCCGGCTCTGACAAATACATCCAGAGAGCCGCCTGCTTACTCGGCTTGTTCCCCGGAGAGGAGGGGGTGGGGGAGGGATGACGGGGAACACTGCAGTACAATGCCGGGCAGTGCTGGGGGGCAGAGGAATGCTGAGCTGGGCTCGTATAGGGCTCGTGTTCTCGCCCACTGACACTCCCACCCGGGAACCATAGATGTTTACAAAGCGCCCAGTGATAGGAGACAGGTTCATGAAGAGGACCTGTCAGTCCTGCCCCTGTACATCACTATGATATGGGGGGATTGGGCCCTGTAATATATTGCAGCTGACCTGTCATTGGATGTGGTGGCTGCATTAGTTTCCTCTCTCTCTCTGTTTTCACCTGGTGATCTGGCCTGTAATCCCCCTCCTGCAGGGTGCCACCCTCCCGAAGTGAAATTTACTGACACACCACAAATGTGCTGACAGATGCTACTTGTTCTACTGACAGTTCATAAGACCATGTAGGTGGTGTGAGTGGTAAGGTGTTTAAAACCCCTTCCTGACAAAGGCATGCATATATGTGGCCTCTCAGCGTCAAAGCCCACCCACGGCCTTATATGTGGCCCTGTGTAAACACTTCAGTGCTGAGAGCATGCGCACCCTCCCACAAGTTACTGCCAGGGGCCACACAGCTTCCAATGCATTTTTGTGATCAGGAGCTTTCCATTCATGTGACCACCGTGACAGCCAATCGCAGCTGTCACATGACCCATCTTTACCTCCTGCCACAGAAGCTCCTAAAGAGCCAGGAGGTGCGATAGGAAGGGTTAAGGTACAACAAAAGACAAAAAACACTTTTCTCCTTTTACATGAAGGTTATAACGCAACACAGAGTTCCACCTTACTTCATCAGAGTCTGCAGAGTCCCCCTTACATCAGAGTCTGCAGAGTCCCCCTTACATCAGAGTCTGCAGAGTCCCCCTTACATCCCCCCCTTACATCAGTGCAGAGTCCCCCTTCTGTACAAGGACTCTGTACACTGTAAAGGAGGACTCTGACAGAAGAGGGAATGCTGGGACACTACTCTGTGTAAAGAATAAACTACTGATGTAAAGGGGGGTGGCTCTGGTGACCAGAGCTACCCCCATAACTCAGAGTCCAGTCCACGGAGCTCCCTTATAAAGCAGTAGTAAACCGCAGGAAAAAAAAAGTCCCCTGCAAGGTAATGTCATAATGTGTTAGTATGCATTGCAATGCATACTAGGACATTATGTAGGACTTCGGCCCCTTTCACACAAGCGTTCCATATGTCCATGTTTCATCTGTCCATTTACGGATGAAAAACAGACCCCCATGCTTTTCTATGGACTTGCGGGTGTAAACGGATAAAAAATATCTTTTTACATCAGTTAATGTCCGCATTTGTTAACATCCGTTTTTTTGAACAGAAGAAAACCCTATTTTTCTAAACGCAAAAAAATACGGAACGGACGAAAAACGGATGTCAACAGAAGTAAACGGATCATTTTTTTCAAAAATGGATGTGAAAAAATAAACGGATGAAAAACGAATGTAATCGGATATGAAAAACGAATGTAATCGGATGAAAAATGGACATACACAAATGAAAAAACGGATGAAAAATGGACGTACATGACTGAAAAAAACGGATCTAAACGGATGATGAAAAAAAACCGATATAAACTCATCCATTTTTTTCTTTGAAAAAACATGACTTAACTGAAGAGAAAAAAAACAGAACGCCTGTGTGAAAGGAACCTTACCGTAAAACGAAGCCCTCCTGCGGAGCGCTGTCACCACTGTAGAGACTTCCATCTTCATCCGTCTATCTTCCAGGTTTGCGAGCTCCGGCCGTCTGACAGGTCACACCTGATTTCCTCCACGCGGGGGTCCCGGCGCGCAGCTCTGAGGGAATGGCACGGGTATGCCTCTTCCTTCAGAACACATGTGACAGCATTAACCACTTCCCGTCCGGCCGCTTGTTTATAAACGGCAGGACGGGACACCTACAGGAGCGGATTGCAGTCTCTCTAAACGGCACCTTGCATCTGTGCTCGTGCGCGGCTCCTAGAGCGCGCACCCGCGAGCCCGATGATCGCCGAGTCCGACGGACACGGTGGATTACGTGACATGGTATGGGACCAATGAAATCGGTCCCATACCATGTGATCAGCTGTGTCCAATAAGGACACAGCTTAAGTGTAAACAAAAGCCGCATGGAGCGGCTTCCGCCTCCTTCTCCTCTCACGAGTTGTCTGTGAGAGGAGAAACAGCGAAGAAAAGGGCTGTAGCTAACTGCCCTCCACCTCAGTGACACCTGATCGCCCCTAAAGTGGCCCTGATCGCCCCTAAAGTGGCCCTGATCGCCCCCACATGTCCCTGATCGCCCCCACCAGTGTCCCCTGATCGCCCAACAAGTGGCCCTGATCGCCCAACAAGTGGCCCAGCAGTGTCCCTGATTGTCAGTGTCCCTGATCACCACATAGTGGCCCAGCAGTGTTCCTGATCGCCACAGTGTCCCTGAAATCGTCACAGTGTCCCTGATCGTCACAGTGGCCAAGCAGTGTCCCTGATTGCCACACAAGTGGCCCAGAAGTGTCCCTGATTGCCGCAGTGGCCCCGCAGTGTCCCTGATCACCGCATGCCGCACACAAGTGGTCCAGCAGTGTCCTGGATCGCCGCAGTGGCCCAGCAGTGTCCCTGATCACCGCAGTGTCCCTGATTGCCGCACAAGTGGTCCAGCAGTGTTCCTGATCGCCAGTTATTACAGTGTCCCTGATTGCCGCACAAGTGGTCCAGCAGTGTCCCTGATTGCCCGCAGTGGCCCAGCAGTGGCCCTGATCGCCACACAAGTGGCCCCAGCAGTGTCCCTGATCGCCGCACAAGTAACCCAGCATTGTCCCCGATTGCCGCATGGCCCAAGTGGTCCAGCAGTGTCCCTGATCACCGCAGTTGTGTCCCTGATTGCCGCACAAGTGGTCCAGCAGTGTCCCTGATCGCCGCAGTGGCCTGATTGCCGCAGTGGCCCAGCAGTGTCCCTGACCACCACACAAGTGGCCCAGCAGTGTCCCTGATCACCGCATTGGCCCAGCACTGTGTTCCTGATCACCACACAAAGTGGCCCAGCAGTGTCCCTGATCACCGAAAAAAAAAAGGAAAAGGCATTGGCCCAGCAGTGTTCCTGAATCTACACACAAGTGGCCCAGCAGTGTCCCTGATCACCGCATTGGCCCAGCAGTGTTTCCTGATCACACACAAGTGCTAATTGGCCTCCCCAGCAGTGTCCCTTGATCCCCAAATGGGCCCAAGCTAGTGTTCCTGATCCAGCCCACCTCGTCTTTGGCCCAGCTGTGGTTCCCCCACACAAGTGGCCCAGCAGTGTCCCTGATCGCCGGATAAGTGGTCCAGCAGTGCCCCTGATCACCGAAGTGTCCCTGATCACCGCAGTAGTCCAGCAGTGTTTCTGATTGCCACACAAGTGGCCCAGCAGTGTCCTGATCATCGCAGTGGCCCAGCAGTGTCCCCATGATCGCCGCAGAAGTGGTCCAGCAGTGTCCCTGTATCGCCGCAGTGGCCAAGCAGTGTCCCTGATCACCGCATGTGTCCCCGATTGCTGCATAAGGTGGTCCAGCCAGTGTCCCTGAATCACCGCAGTGTCCCTGATTGCCGCAGTGGCCCAGATCACCACACAAGTGGCCCAGCAGTGTGTCCCTGATCACCACACAACAAAAAAATGTGGCCAGCAGTGTCCCTGATTGCCGGACAGTGGTCCAGCAGTGCCCTGATCACCGCAGTGTCCCTGATCACCGCAGTTGGCCCAGCAGTGTCCCCTGATCGGCCACACAAGTGGCCCAGCAGTGTCCCCCTGATCACCGCAGTGGCCCAGCAGTGTCCCTGATCACCATACAGTGGCCCAATCAGTGTCCCTGATCACCTTACAGTGTGCCTGTTTCAATAAAAAAGTGTCCCTGATCTCTGCCACACCAGTGGATCCTGTTCACTGCCATCGTCTGTGAGGAGAGAGATCCAGTACAGCTAAACTGTGAGTAATTTTCAGCCTTTGCACAGAGTTTACACACACTCACAAAACATTGCCAGCCACCTCACTGTAATCTCTGATTTTTGCCCAACAGTGACTAGTGTGAACCAACTGCCAGCCAGATATCTGTCCCTCACTGCAAACACCATCCTGATCACTGCCATACCAGTGGGGTCCTGATCAGTGTCAAAAATATGGCCAAAAGATCATATACAAGCGAGGAGGCATTTCAAATTCTGAAGTGTATGACAGATGAGAGTGCACGGAGAACTTAAAACATACCTTGGGGTGTTTGCTTTCCAAATAATTGACAACTTTGCCGGTAAAAAAAAAAAATACATTTTTCATTTTCTTTTCACATTTTTCCAAAAACATGTGGCAAAAAATGAAGTGCTTCAGGAGGATCCCCCCCCCCCCCCCCCATGCCTGCCTGAAAACATTACTTGAAGGTGTTTTCTTTCGAAAATGGGGTCATTTTGTGGGTTAGAATTCAATTGTCCTGGTGCTCCAGGACCTCCAAAAACTGT